GTCCTGAGCTCTGCCTCAGAAAGAACCATGACAGCATCGCAGGGTCCCAGGGCAGTGCTGGGTGCTTTATTTCATGCAGGGGTGCCTGCCCAGGAGGTATGTACACAGGGGTGGGGGCTCTGGCGTCCTTGTGGGACCCTGAGAGCCCATGGTGGGGGGCTTGCTGGGATCCCAGGCGTGTTGCTCATTTACCCGGAGACTGGGAGATGGATTGCTGTGTGTGGTGGCTGTGTAGAGCTTCATGCATGACCGCACACTTGAAGACCTCTCCCCGCTGCCATCGGTTCTTGTCCACCGAGAGCTTGGTGTAGAGGAAGTAGGTTCCATCTGCGTCCAGCTGGGGTGGGGTTGTTCGGATACTGCTCTCCGGCTCTTCCTCTCTTTCACTCTGCCACTCGACATCAACCTCAGATGGGTAGAAGTCTTTGACAAGGCAGGTCATGCTGACTTTGTCCTTGGATGCTATCTCCTTCGGGGACGGGGGTAGGACGTACACACTGGGCTGATGGGCCTGCCCTGTGGGGTAAGAGGTCAGCACACATGGTCACTCCAAAGGTGAAGGGCTGGTCTTGGTCTGCAAGGCCCCGCTCGGCCCTCCCTGCACCCCCCACCCTGCCTCGCACCTCTAGCCTTGGAGATGGTCCTCTGGATGGGGGATGGGAGGGCTTTGCTGTTGACCTTGCACTTGAACTTCTTTCCTGCAAGCCAGTCCTGGTGCACGATGGGGAGGACACTGACCACACGGTAGGTGCTGTTGGACTGCTCCTCAGGCAGCTTCGTCTTGGCTGTGTGTACCTCCTGGTCATCCACGAACCAGGTGACCTGGATTTCAGGGTCTTCATGGCCCAGGTCCACCACAAAACATGTGACCTCGGGGATTCCACCAATTTTGAGGATGTCCTTGGGTTTTGGGGGAAAGATGAAGACTGAAGGTCCTCCCAGTATATCAGAGCCTAGTAAGGGAGACAGAATGCAGGGGTCAGCATGTGGGTGGGCTTCCTCTTGAACATCCATTCCCCCCACCAGGCTGTGGCTGGATGCTGGCCATCTGCTTGGGGTGGAGGGCAAGGTCCTGCTGACTCACCTGGACATTTGCAGGCACATTCTTTGGGCACTGCAGAGAGAGCAGAGTGGGCGTTACTGGGTGTCTGGAGTGGGAACAGGTTCGGGTGGGTGTAGGTGAGGGCCAGGTCATGGCGGTTTCCCAGACCAGGGACTGGAGTGGGGGTAAGCCGCCTGTGCTCACAGTGGACCAGGTGGCAACACCCAGAGGACCTCCTTCCCAAAATGGGAGGCCTTCAGGTGGAGGAGAGGGCAGTGCTTCCCCTGTGCCCTGGGGTCCAGGTAGGCCAGCTGACCTGGCCTGTCTCCCAGTGGACACCCTCTCTGAGG